CAGCGGCCGCGCGTTGGAGGGGTAGGCCACGTTGCAACGCTGGAGGATCATGAGCAGCCGACTGTCGCCAACGCCGCGCGCGCGGAGGAGCCGGAAGCTGAGCCCCTCGAAGCCGACCGTCAGCTGACCGGCCTGCTGCGCGCGGTTGCGGACGATGTCGAAACGCGCGAGGACCTCTCCGGGCCGGCGGTGGAAGTCCATGAGAGCCTGCGCTGCGGCGGTGCGCCCCCCCCCCCAGCTGGCCCCAGCGCTCGGCCAAACTGCGCATCAGGAAGGTCATCATCGGCGGCGCCGGCGGCGCCGGCTGCCCGCCGAGGATCTGGGGCGGCCACTCGTGGACGCATCCGCGCGCCATGCCAGTGAGGCGCGACGAGACGTAGGCCGCCTATCGCAACTCGTTCACGTCGGAGTTCGCGACAGACCAGATCATCACCTCCCGGACCCATCGACTGAAGGGCAGGCGAGCCTGCTGCTCGGGCCCCCAGGTCAGGAGGTGACGGATGGTGCTGCTGTCGCCCCCGCCTGCATCCATGCAGGATTTGGGGGGGGGGGGGGGGGCAAGCAGGGCCCCAGCTATGAGCTGCGCCCACTCGTGGCTGAGGCCTCACGGCAGCATCCCCATAGTTTCGGAGCCTGGGATCCACCGTCGTCGATGCTCCGGCAGGCTGCCTCGGGGTCGACGCGGATAGTGGCCCCTGGTGCGCTCTGCTTCGTCGGCCTCCTGGGGATTGCGGTTCGCTGAGGGGTCGTCGCGCCCGCAATGCGGGAGATTCGCGCCGTGAGCGATCGTGTCAGCGATCTTGCGCTGCGGCTGGTGCTGGGCGCTGAACTTGACGAAGGGCTTGGGCTCCGGCCAGTTGCGGCGCTGGATGACTGCCCCAGGCTTGGCCTTGTCGGGGAGGGTGCTGATGGGGCGTCCTCCTCTTTGGGCCTGGGCAGCGCCGCGCAGGTTGGGATTGGCGGCCCTCCAACTCTGCGGGCCACTGGCGCCGCGCGCATTCCAAGTCGCCGCAGGGGCCGTCGTCGCGGCCGCAGGCGTAGACGAGGTTGTAGGCGCAGGCGAAGCCGTAGGCGAAGACATTGTAGCCGAAGGCGTAGTCTTCGTGGCCGCAGGCGCGCTCGGAGTAGCCGTCGGCGCAGTCGCAGTCGTAGGCGCCCCCCTTGAACTCTCTTCTGACACAGATAGCGTGGGCTCGGAGTAAATCTCGAGGCTGACGTCACCAGCAATCTCCACGGGCGGACACCATGACATCTGAGACTCTGGGGTCGCCTGCGACATGGTCGCATCTGGCTCTCTCGGGACGTGCGAGACACTCGTGGAGTGATCGTGCGGGGCGGTCGTGGCGCCGCGCACTGGGCTCATTGATACATCCCAAACAAGCTCGCGCTCCCGCACTCCCTCCCCGGCGCCGTCCTGCCGGGTGCCATCGTAGATCTTCTGGTGGTCGTACTTGTACAGGATGGTCGCGCCTGTTTCCGGATCGCTGGGTTCCTGCGGCGGGATCGGGTTCCCTGCAGCGCCTCGCGGGGAGCAAAGGTACAACGCTATACGGATGAACGCGCTGCTCGACATGCGGAAGAACACAGGTCTCATGTAGACGAAGTGGGAAAACGTCTTCATCGAGATGACGCGACAATAATGGAACATCGTGGAAGGGAGCCGAAGCTCCGCTACCAACTAGAGTAACAAATTAGGAATGAACGATAAACGCATGTGCGCTCTGTTTTACGAGAGCGATGTATGCGGTATGCGGTGCTGTTAGGCGCATGCGGGTGCTAAGCCTGGCCAGGCTCAGGGCCCAAAAGGCAGCGGGATAGAGGCGGGTGAACAGGGCAAGGGCAGTGAAAGGCAGGGATGGCCTGACATGGGTCCGTTCGAATCTCCCCTCGGCGAGGACCGTCATTAGGCCTCGGCGGTGAGGACCGTCAATCGGCCTCACACCCCTCGCACCTTCCATCAAAATAGTGTGGCTTGGATCCCCGACCCCATCAATCAACCTTCAATCTTGCCGTCAATTGGCACCGGCGGGGGCCGAGGACCCCCTTACGGTCCCTCGGCCAACGAAAACGGCCGTAGGAGGAGGACCCGTACCTCCACCTCTAGGCACATGCGCCACCACCTGCAATTAGAGGCGCCAACTGCCACCCGCCACTTTTACCCCCCCCATCGGAGAGCTCATCGAGGGGCTCAGAAGGATCGGGGCTCGTTTATGCCTCCTAGATCAGGGCCTGGTAGATGGGGTTGGAGGATTGCGCCGCATCGCCGATGTATCGCCGATGCATCGGCGACGCATCTCCGATGCATCGGCGACGTCGGCGGTGCATCGGCGACGCCAGTGCGGGGAAGATCGGGCTTCACATCGACCCGCATATACATCGGCGACCCTCCGATCCCACCTGCGCCGACACAATCTAGGAGGCATGGAGGTTTTGGGCGTTACAAGTGTAGGGATTTCCGCGGATCCCGCAGTGGAAACAAATCGGGCATGTTGCCCTACAGGGGCATTTTCGACAAATAGTACTAACAATAGCAATAACAATAACAATACAAATACTGATGATAATAATAATGATACTAATAATAACATAATAATGGGAATAATAATATGAATGAAAGTACTACAGAAAAATGAAACTGATGATAATAACACATAAAGAAGAATAGTAGTAGTCGTAATACGAATACTGATAATAACAACGGTAACAACAATACCAAGCCACACAAATCCACCAAAATACTCATACTATGTTTGACTAGTTTTGAATGTTCCTCCTGAAAAGGGACAAGCCCGACTTAAATCCAGACGCCGGATGTCTGGGTGGCTGACGCGCGCACAGCTGGACTCGCAAGCGGAGCTGTGCGGAGGCCACGGCGCGCCCGATTGCACAAGCGGAGAGGCTGGCGTGCCCAGCCTGACGAGGGCACGAGAAACGAGCGACGCAAAGAACCACTGCCACGAATGCACTCCCGCCCTGGTCGGCCACGTCACTGGAGCAACGAAAAGAAACGGGCCTTGCTCGACATGACGGGGCGACCTTACGCCGCGGCTTACGCGGGTGGAGAAGAGGGCGCTCACGCACGGCCTTACGCGGCAAACCTACGCGCCAATGTCGGTGAAGACGAACCCGTTCTTCCCGCTTTCCTGCGTCGCTCACGTGCATCCGGCTTCCTGGACACTGCTGGGGCATGCAAGGGGGCCCTTCCTTACAGGGCCCGCCAATAATTTGGACCGCTGGTATCGCCACGTGCCGAAGCACCACTGACTTGGAGATTGTTCGAAAAAGGAACGGACCGGTTTATCTCTCGAGGCTAAGACAACGGTGGCTCCTGATTGGACGCATCCGGAAGTACTTCAGTACTTCCTCCAAGCAGCAGGTCATCGAACTTCGCGCATCGCGCCCCGCGATGCGCGGATTCTCTTTGCGCCACCGCGTCCGCGCGGAGCCCTCTCGGAGAAGGGCAGCCACTCTGGCCCGGGCCGCGGCGCGCGAGGCGCGATCGCCCTCGCGACCCCGTGGGTGGCCCCCACGGCGGGGTCGGGCTTCCAGACCGGGTGCGGCACCCGTGGGCACAACAACGAGCAGCGCACGACTTTGCCAAGCCCGCGCGGGCGGAAACCAGTGGCCAGCCGCGCGGTGGCCGTGAGTCACCCTCGCCGCAGCCACGAGGCAGAGAAGGAGCCCGGACCCCTCCTGACTGAGTCAAGGCATCGAAGCCCCTAGGGACGACGTCATCCACCTCCTTCCCCCTCCTCCTCCTCCTCCTCCTCCTCCTCCTCCCTCCTCCTCCTCCTCCTCTTCTTGATCCTCCTCCTCCTCCTCCTCCGCCTCCTCTACCCTTCTTGCACTTCTCTTCCCTCTCCCTCCATATCCCTCCTCATCTCCTCCCCTTCCTCCCTCCTCCTTTCCATCTTTCCTCCCGCCCTCCCTTCTCCCTCCCTGAGCCAGCTGCAAAGTGGTTCCACGCGTCATTGCACGGCACTGAGGATCAGTGGAAGTTCCCAGATGGTATATGTATAGATCTATATATACACAAGAGACCAATGGCTGGACAAGCACACTGATACTCTGCACGATATCAACGCATCAGCAGAGTTGGTGGTGTGGAGGCTAGCTGCGCAATCTTACTGCGGAGGCGGAATTGCAGATGGCATAAATCATAAGTTGTTCATAGTGATGTTGAAACGAATTTCGCAGCTACCGCATGGGAACCGATTGAGTGAGATTGTTGTGCATACAGGTACAGGAAGGTTTCGGACGAGGCAGGAGCAACAAAAACAATAGATGGACGGCCACACTGGACATGAGGAGTGCGACATATGCAAGGCCGACAGTGAGTCAGCGCTTCACAGATTCTGGAAATGCGAGAGGAACTTTGACGCCTTGCCAGACGTGGTCCCTGAAGCACTCACCCATGTCAACACAGCGGAGTGTTACTGGCTCATGGGCCTCATCCCGTCGGACTGATCACTCTCTGAGCTACCAAAAGACGAGAGCTGGGAAATCACGGGCATAAGCGACCTCGTCCAAGGCGTCTCCGGGAACAGCCGAGGAGCCAATTGGGATCTTTGGGGGACACCAGCGGGGTCTGGTTCTGCTCGGAGTTTTGGGCAGTGGCCGACCAGGCTTTGCGTGTCCTCAGACGCGATCGCACGGACAAGATGACTATCCCAGGTCACACTACACTGGCAATAATACCTTGACATGCCCTGACGGGGTTTGGTCCCTCACAATCGACTCGACGCTCGAAGGTCCCGAGGCCCAAGTCGTCAGTGCAAGCTGGCAACTAGCCTGCATCCGCAGCGGTGTCCGCTCCACTCCACTCCCTTCCCCCCTACCCCCCTGCTCCCCCCTTCCCCGTCCTCCCCCCCCCCTCTCTCAAACAATCGCCCTCCTGGTGGCGTCCACCCTTGCAGCCCCCCCCCCTGCTCTCAGCCTGACCGCCCGCTGCCCTGGGCTCTCCCAGACCACCCGGCACTGCCCTCCAGCAGGGAAGCCGCTCGTCCTCGGAGGTGGCGGCGTCGAAAACCCTCAGCGCCATCAGCGCCGCGGCGGCGTGGCAAAAGGGCAGGTGCTGCCACAG